AATCGTAAGGAAGGCGCGGGGGCTAGGTCTCGCACCCCCTTCCACACACGATAAATCCTACCCCCTTTTCCATTCCGATCATACCGAAGGTGCGGGGGCTAGGTCACACACCCCCTTCCACACACGATAAACCCTATCCCCTTTTCCATTCCGATCATACCGAAGGTGTGGGGGCTAGGTCACGCTCCCCCTTCTGTATTTCGGATATTTTCCTCAACTCTTCAATTCCTCAATCGTAAGGAGGGCGCGGGGGCTACGTCACGCACCCCCTTCCACACACGATAAACCTTATCCCCTTTTCCATTCCGATTATACCGAAGGTGCGGGGGCTAGGTCACGCACCCCCTTCCGTATTTTGGATATCTTCCTCATTTCCTCAATCGTAAGAAAGGCGCGGGGACTAGAACTCGCCCCCGTCTTCCCTTGCATACGAATCCTCTACCCCTTTCTCTCTCCTTCATCACGGCACTCTACACTATCAGCCTCTACGTAATCCTAAGCTTCACCTTACCTTCCCCGTAGATGGTTAGGCGGGCGGGAAGGAGGGTAGCCTTATTAAAAACTTTCACGGAGGCAGAGGGGCGCCCTAAACGCCCTACCAGGCGACCACCCCACCGACGCACGAAACGGAAGGCCGCTCAAGAACCCACTAACGCCGGCATATCCAAGAGGGAACTCGTCCACTCCCCGCGGCGCCTTAAAAACGTCAAGGCGCTGGTCGAAGCGTCAACCCCGAGGAAAACTGCCCGCGCAATTCCACCTAGGCTCTCGTCCGTGGAAATACGGATACCCGATTGGAGGCTGATCCCGATCGATCTGCCTCCCGTACAGAAATCAGGAGAAGAAAGTCGGGCGGAGGCCTCACATTCCCAAAGAGGCCCCGAAATCATTACTATTGAATCAAATTTAGATTTCTAAAAATCCCTTCTTTCTTTTTCTTTTCCCAGACGTAACAGTAACCCTGCCCAAATTTCGCGGAGGCAGAGGGGCGCCCTAAAATCCCTACTAGGCGACCACCCCACCGACGTACGAAGGGGAAGGCCGCCCAAGAAACCACCAACGCCATCGTACCCAAAAGGGAACTCGTCCTTTCCCCGCGGCGCCTTAAAAATATTAAGGCCCTGGTCGAAGCATCGACTTTGAGGGAGACTACCCGAGCAAATCCACCCAGACTCTCGTCCGTGGAAATACGAATACCCAATTGGAGGCTGATCCCAATCGACCTGCCTCCCGTGCAGAAACAAGCAGAAGAAAGTCGGGGGGAGGCCTCACACTCCCAAAGAGGCTCCGAAATCATAACAGTCGAATAAAATTTAGATTTCCGAAATTCCTTTCTTTTTCTTTCTTTTCCCTGTTACGATTCTCCTAGACGTAAAAGTAGCATGCGTCATTGTCATATGGGTCATATGCAAGTAATAAGGTTAGACGTCCGGATTGACTGATTGGTGAATTGAAGATTGCTTCTGGCGCGTTGCGGCCAGAGATAAATATTTTTAAAAATAGTTTGGTTGTGAAAATAGGGTAGTGTTACGTCCCACGTAACCCACCCGATAGATTATCTCAATCTCTAACATTTAGGAATAAAAGGAATATTATTATAGTAATTACAACAATTTTTTTCAGCAATACTAAAAATGAAAGTGAATCCTATAAATGTCATCAATCATTTGCTTGGTGTATTTCTATCGCTAAATATATAAGAGACTCCGATAAATCGAATGGAAATTGAGTTAAAAGAGCACATCGGAGTTGTTTTATTGTTACGTCCCGACGTAGTTTAGTTCGAAATGTAAACAAAATAAAGTCGCGTCCAGGGAAAGCGAGCCTTGCACAGGGAAGTAGTAGGGTGCAGAGCGGACATTCCAGCGGTGCTCACGGGCTCGCGAAGGTCGAAGTCCCCGCGCACAAAACCCCGCGTCAGCACTAGGTTCAAAATCCTGGAGGCGCTGTCCAGCTACAGGAATCTAAAGACACAGCAAAAGGTGGACCTCCCAATGTACGGGCAAGCGTTTGCGGGCGGTGCGTCTTTCACATAGCCGGTCGGGGCGGAAGACCTGACGGCGGATGCAGACCGACTCGGTGGGAGCAATAAGAAGACGACCCGGAGGAAGGGGGGCAAGCCCCGGTTAAGTCCGACACCAGGATCGCCGGGGAAGGCGCCCCAAGCCAAGAGGCCCAGGCGGGACGATAGGCCCCGACCGCAACAGGGCCAGAAATGGGACAGAATCAACCCACCAAAACGCTCAAATAATCTTTACGGAAATGGAAATTCCCCCAGGTGAGCAACAAAAACAGGACAACATTCAAGGCACTGAAGAGTACCTAATAAACCCAGAAGCTATCGATTTAACACATCAAGAAGACACACAGGAATTAATCCGAAGAACAATACAAACCGCCATACAAAAACTCGGCATCGACACAATTAACGAATACAACCAGAAGCTTTAAAACAACAAAAGAAACCGAAAATTCAAAGACCCCCTGTTAAGAAGTTAAACTTAGACCGACTTTCTAGACCTAAACCTACTGGAGATGACTCCAGTGTTAGCAGCGATGAATCGTTCCATTCTGATGTATCATCTAAAATGGACTTCATGCCATCAACTAAAGAACCGGAAAAAAAAGACGCTGAATGTATCTTCTGTAACGGAAAACTCTCCAAAGATCAACGAGGGGAAATGTGGATTCAATGCTTCAGCTGTTTTCTATGGGCTCTGTTACGTCGGGCGAATCGCCCCCGTAACGCCGACACCCCTTCTTTTATATTGTAATGTGGTGGATCGGTAGCTCCCCCACATTAAAGGGAAATCGCGTCCTCGAAGAGGAAGGAATAGCTACCGACCCGCCCTATATACAGTTAGAGCTAATAAGTTGCGCGCGAGCGTCACCAGCGACCGCCCGAACATGTATTAGGGGATATAGTTGGAAATAATTATGGGAAAGAAAAGGGAAAATAGGGAAAATAAGGGTCTGTACCGGATAAGGAACGACTCTGGGCGATAGGGGATGCTCGGGAGTAGATAGCTACGGCCTTAAAGGGCTGTACGCCGTAGGGTTCGCCCATGCGGCCCTGAAATAGTTGAGGAGATTGGGCCACTCACGCGGTCCTGTAGTGCGCGGCGAGGCCCGAACCGCCGTCGCCGCGCTGCTCCGGTGGAGCGGGAGGATTGGTCGGCCGACGCGGCGCCGCCGGGCTGGAGCCAATCAACGCTCCGCTCGCGAGGCCGCGAGGCCAATCCGCGCCCTGGAGACTGCCGAAAAAGGACCCGGCAACGCGTATGTGCCGGGACCGGCAGTCAGTCGGAAGATAGCAGTAGTTGAGGCTAGAGCGAGGACCTACAGCGTTGTCAGACAAAGGAGAGAGAGCGATCCACGCTTTTCAAAAAGGGTCACCGAACATCCCCGCCCAAGTAAGTTTTAGGGGAAAATTCGTATGGAACGATCCGCGACTTATTAGGGGAAGATTCGCGAAAATTCATAGGGAAAGATCCGCGAGAATTATAGGGGAAAACGCGCGTAGCGAGGCACGCGAGGGTGTTCGCGAGTGGCGGCCGCGACGTATGATAAGTAGCCGCGTTACGGCCGGGAACCCGCGAAGCTCGTGCGAATTTTGTGGTAGAATTTAGAATTTAGGGCCGCCGACGGGCGGCTGGCGCCCAACTAGTGTGATACGGGATTAGGTTAATAAAGAATTTTTATATGAAACAGAAGAAATCAAACATTGAGCGCCCCTTTTTGTGACGAAAACCACGTCGCAATATATATATGAATAAACACGTAATCCTCATATCCTCATATCCGGGCGCAGGAGAGAAAATCGGGAGTGAAATTCAGCCGCAGAGACAAATTTGTGAGGAATGGCTCAGAAAATCCGGAAAGCGTCCAACAAATCCAGACGAAGTTTCCAACACGACCAAGGTTCATCCTAGAATCACAAAAAAACAGGGAAAACCGAGTTCCACTGGTTCTTACTAAGTCAAGATAAAGGTCTACTCCCACGTCTCTTTCTCTCTCTTCCTCTTCATCTTTTGGTAGCTAGGTCCGTTCCAATCCCCTTTTACGTAAGAGCGGCAATGTAATTCTGTTCCAAATGTCAATAAATTAGTTTAGCCTTGTTTTTCTTTAAAAATCTCTTCTCGTGTAACTAGCTTCCCATATTCGATTTCCTCGCGGTTCTAACTCCCTATATCCGATCATTCGAGTGAGTAGACATTGCCTTGCCACTCCCCCGGATTACCAACAAGTCGAGATTCCTGGAGCAGTCGCAGTTGGGTTGCTTCGTCCTGGTTCTCGACCCGAATCCTCCGATGATCTGAGTGAGTCAGGCTTGGTGTTGCCACCCCTCAGATCATCAAGTCGCTGATCTCCGTAGAAAATTGTCCAACCGGCCCCTTCTCCGATCTCCTACAACCCATTCTTGCCCGAATAAAGATTAGCTTCCCTTCCCCTTCGCGCCATGTTAACGGAGAATATTTCCTTTAGATGGTAAAGCGGTCCGGAAGACGAGTTAAACTTAGGGTCCTATTCGCTGCCTTAGAAGGCAGACTCAAAATTCCCACGAAACACGGGCCTCACAGGAGGGCCCAAAAGAGGAAAGCTCGGGAGCAAGCCGCTCGGGCTCTTGAGCTCACAAGAGCAGAACACGTCCCCGTGCCCCCTCCTGCTACGGAGGCTCATCAGGGGTTTTGTCCCCAACAAGCTCCCGGCCACATCGGCACCGCGACCGGAGCTCGCCCAGCCGACCTCCCGACGAAATCGGAACAGCGACCGGGACACCCAGGCGTCCCCTCAGGAGCATCCCCGACAACTCGCGATGGAAAAGGAAATAAATAAATATTAGTAAAAGAATCTCTCTCCAACTACATACACGCATTCAATTAATCTCGAACTCCCCTCCCATCCGGACGTAACAGCTCACCTTGACTGTACGGGAGCAGAGAAAGAAGGTTATATCTGTGACTTCAGTAAATAGACTCGAAGCAGAAATGACTTCCACATAATCTTAAAAACATGGTGTTTATATTTAAAAATAACTGCTTTATGAAGTCGAATTAGTTTTTCAATGGTTTAAACCACTTATTCTACATTACCCGACTATTTCATATTATCCTCCATTTGTAAATTTTTTTGAAATTATTTTCTTTGTATAACAACAAAATTAATTAGTATTTTCTTTACAAGTGACAGTTCATTACAATTAGTTATAGTATGTACTCATGATGATTTTGGGATTTTTTTTCAAAAACCAGTAGTTATTTTTAGAAATGTAAATGGTATTCCATAATACCCTTCTCTCTCTTCTATACGTTGTTCGCAGAAGAACGATATCAGGCTGTATATATGAATGGCTTCGGTATAACGTTTGTATATTCTTGAGCTGAAAATTAATATTTCATATGTAACAATATGCGAAACTGATCAATGTTTAGGTAGTGTGAAGTCTGACATAAAGATATAGAAAAACTAATGAAATAAGTATCTGCAATTCCAAATACTTACATAACATGTTTTTTTAAGAGTTGTTCAAGCAAGATTATATCCAGGCTAGGCAGTGTCTAACTTACCTATCTAGTTCACCCCTGCGAGACAGTAGCTAGGTACCGTCTAATTTAAATTTGTTAAGTAAACAAGTTGACTACCACGGTGGTGAACGTATTAAACTAGTTAGCCATTATACAGAACTTGGAAAAAACTAAACTTTACCACTTGCGAGTCTGCTAGACTTAATTCATATTATTGCTTTTATATAAATTTATCAAATGATTTTAAATCGTTTCTCTCAAAACATGTTTAATGTTGGAGAAATTGATAGCTTCTACAATTTTTATTTTATTTACTTCAAATCTTCACACGATCTTTCTTTTCACATTGTCTCGGTCAATACATATAGGTTTCGAAATATCATAAAAACTGCATTTGCTACATATAATTGCATGTATACTTTTTCCACAAAAATCTCCATTTTACTTTTAATCATGCCACATTTCCATAAAACTTAATATTTGAAAAGTAACCTACATATCAGCGTAGAAAATGTTATATATAAATGAGACATTTATTTTCTATACCACCTCAAAAACTGTACTCGTAATCATTGCCACTGCAAAGATTATCTGAAAAGCCACTACAGCAATATTACTCCATAACCATAATTTTGTATTAAAGAAAAAATATTTACGCATTCTTTTATACTTGTTCAATAAAGCGCCAGTGATAAGATAGCCATTTAGTTTTCCCTTTTTTCTAAGAGAAATTGCAGAACGTTGGAATGATTTTCAGACGTTCATTGAGGTATAATCCCTTAACTACCATTCCGGAGACCCACGGACTGTTTAATCGCTCACAATTCGACATTAGTTAACAGCTAATTAATTCAATATCCTGTATATTTCATATGCTTGTTAAATTATTACTCTAGAGTCTGTACTCTTTTAGGATTGAACGTCTTTTACCTGTAACGTTAAAATGGCTAAAAGGCATCTTTTAACCCTAAAAGTAAGGTACGAATATGAGCCTAAGCACATACGTTTTGCTTCTCATATAATTCTTTCAATTACCTAATACATAAATATTCCATAGAATATCACTCATACTATTACCGATTACATAAATGATATATTTCTGAATTTCACAACACAAAATTACTTCCATACACACCTGCACTACAATCAATAAATATCTTTAGAAAGTTAGGAATGCTGTTTCTGTAAAATAGAATGCTTACTTTTAAGAGAACTAAAAGGGTCGTAGAGAAATGCATATTATTCGACCGTTTAAAAATTCCGATCATATGCAAAAGTGACGGTTTTGATCAACTAATTTAAATTTCTATGGACCAGCTCTCAAGTTATAGTTCATGTTGTAAGAAACAGTACTTACCCACAAAACGGAACTTTCCAAATCTTAACACACAGTCCCGATGAAAAGCAAATTCTTGTATACCGGCGTGCTTACGCACGTTATCATTTAACATAACCTAACGTAACCAAGAGTACTGAAATGGCGGAAGCATGGACGCCAGAATAAAGCAGAATAAAGGGGACTGGGCCATGGACGTAAGAATAATGGACGGAGCCCAAAGTCCCATCTCAGACCAAGGGGCAAGCCAACTCGTAGGAAAGGGAGGGCTACATTGGTTCTGAATTTTCAGCCTCCTGATTGGCTCAGCTGGCTGATTGGCTCGTACGAGTACCTTCCGTCCATGGATTGGCTCTAGAAAGCGGCGCGTAATTTTGAAAGCAACTTCGTTTATTTTTTTATAATACATGAGTTATAAGTTTAAATATTCTGCCCGGTAAAACAGAAGTTCCTTGGTCAACATTTTTCTTTCTAGGTGAATCTAATATAAAAGATCATGATGAGTTAATGAAATAAAACGTTGAATGACATTTACCTGTGTAACCAAATCTCAGCCAATCAGGAGGCTAAGATTTCAGAACCACTCACACTTTCTTACCATTGTTCGTACAATTAATAGAACATGTTCTATTATATTCTTTATAAAATTCTGTAAATTATTATTTAACAAAAACTACGTTAGGTGGGTCAGGGACGCTCCACAGTAATACTAAAATAATTTTCATTCATTGTTTTTGTTTATAAATATTTATTTTCTTTAGGAAATCCATTCTGCCCCTCGAGCGATTCGAATTCCGCGCTGCTCCCGCCGCT